ATTTATTATAATTAAAACCCATCTGCCTTATATTTGCCTAAATCACTAAATAATCTAAATCCTTTTGTAAATCAGCAGCATCCTTTTCACAGATAGCAACATCCAAGAGCTTAATATCATATGCAAATTTAAGTAATTTATTGACTATTTCTTCATTTATGTCATTGATTTAAATCAAAAAGAGCAAAGGTCCTAAAACTAAGCCCTGAGGTACCCCAGTCAAGGAAAGAAATATCGTAACAGACATGAATAAAAACAAATATTTATTTAAAAAATAAATTCTATTATAATTTAAATAAGCATATTTCTTTAATATGATACCTAGAGAAACATAAACAATGTTCTTTTCCTTCTACAATTCATGCAGCATATATAAATTATGGGAGGGTTATGACTCATCAGCACGTTACACCACTGAAAACTGCACTATAAACTATGGTTTATGTAACAGTAACATCTGGCATTCCATCTTACTGTTCAAAGCTATGTTCATAATCAAACTAACAAGTAGAGCCAAAGAAGCAAATAATGAATTTTACTATTCAAATATTTGATACCTCTATTTGAATTGTATTTAAGTATTCTACAATAAAAGGCAATAAAAGTATGCCTTTTCAATATTTTTTGTACCTTGTTTGCTGTAACTTAAAAGTATCTACACATAATATCGGTAATAAAGTGTAAAGGTTTGTGCAAGTATTCAAAGATTCTAAATAATATTCATTATTGATTTCATCATCCAAATTACCTGCATTCAGGATTATACAGATACTATTATAATGTGTTGAAACTAGAAAAATGTGTAGAGTAGTGGTATTTCTCTCAACGTGCATTCTTATTTAACCACACCAGGTTGAATATTTGGCTAATTAGATATGATCTTTTTAAATGTTCTTTCAAAACCCAAAACCGCAAGTTATCTTTCAGGTCTCAACTTTCTTTGGGGCATGAGAAAGTTAAAACCAAGAATTGGATTTTGTCAATGTTGATACTATGAGTACTCACCTCATCTTCAAAGACTTTAATAAGTCATCTCTGTTTTGACACTTGTTAACAGAATTCTCAGAACTCAATGTTGAATTTGTAAACAAAATTTTAGAACATTATACAGCAAGTCTATTCCAAACTCAAATAAAAACAAAACATTCTCAAAAATGATTATTGTATGTGTATGTTCTTTAGAATATAAAATTTTACATTTCTTATTAGTGTAAAATGGGATATACAATACTCAGATAATTGGCTTTAAAAAAAGATTGTTTTCATGTTATAGAATTAAAGGGAAATTATGATTTAAAAATTTTTCATTATAAAAAGGTTTTTATTAAAATTTAACAATACATGTACACAAAATGTAGCATGTACTTATGAATTGCTCTTAGTGGGCTTTATACCTATACATAATAGTTTTGAGTATATTTCTTTTTCTCTTCTTCTTTATATTTATAAGCAATGGATAAAAAGACATTTGTTTTCCTAAAGGATATAATTCTGCTGGTAGAATGTGTCAAATTCAACAAAAATGTTCAAGTGATGGCCTAAAATGAAGAACTACTGAATTCATATTGAAAAAGTTTTAAAAAAACTACCTTGTAAGCAACACTTTCAATATTTGTACTTTCAGGGATATAATTTTTTAATTAAATTAATGACATCACCCTGGTTAGAGCTATATAGATCTGACTGTGAGAAAAAATTGGCTCAGCTAAGTGCAACCTCAATGGACAGACGTCCATTTCCCAAATCATATTACTTAAACATTATATTACTAGTTAGTTTGGCTGTCATCTTCAGCTCTAATTAATAATTTCTTTCTAAGTTGCCATTTCGATTCATTTTTAGTGCTGATGGAAGCATTTGCCACCACAAAGTTTTATTTATTTATATTTAACATCATCATTTTCCTCATTCATTGATTTGAGGAACAATGAAAAGTTCAAATCTTTACTACATTACACAAACATATAAATCTATCACATAATTCAAGATGTTTTACCTACGAAACTTTTCATCCAATCTCACAGGAGTTCATTATGCTTCACATACTCCACTCATTATACTTTTGAGGGGGGGCACAATGAACTCTGGGGGAAATGTTTATGATTTCAATCAATAGGCAAAGGAACATGACCACAACATTCCAAGTCAGATAAATGGATAAAAAGACATAATGATATGTATTTATAGTTTGTAATCTACAGGTTGTAATTGGTGAAATTTGCTACTGTTCTGCATTCAAGAATCAAAATGATGTCTGGACTATTAACAACATGTGAAAAGTTCTTAAAAAGGAACATATTAAAAACCTTGAATATTCAAATACCAAGTTTAGTTGCAACATTTGTTAGAAAGGTATTCTTACTTCAATATTCTTTTCAGCTCTGCTAAAATATGTGTGTAAAAAGAAAATTATAAAAAATATTTACTATTTAACTATCAAACAAGAACTCAACTCTTTTTAAACTAAACTTACATGCAATTTATTTCAGCAATATAATATATGTACTTCCTACCAGTTAATCCTACTTAAAAAATGAGTTGAGTGTATATATCTATATACTCATCCATGATAAACCTTCATTAAACACAACAGTTAGCCTAATTTCAGTATGTCAAACAACAAACTAATACATTATATGTAACTTACATTGATATATTGCACAGAATAGATTAAAACAATATGTACATGTATCAAATCCATTTTTGTTTACAACACTGTTTAATTATAGATTGCAGTAAATTAAAAAATGTACAAAGTGATATATTGTTTTTCAGACCCTACTAACTAATGTTGGGCAGTAAACCCACAGGTGGTGAAGGAGCAGTGGATGTTTCTATTCACTTTGTTTATTTTATAACTTTAAATGCTTAAATACTGTAGGAAGTATTCTAGTACAAATATACTTCAGGAATTAAGTAGAATACTTTTAAAATTTGTTTAAATAACAACCTCAACTTTAAGTATGGTGTATGTTTTTACAAAAGCATTACTAGGCCAATTAAATTGTAATTTTATGATGTTCAAGTTTACCACAAGATGTTTCATAACTTTTATTTGGTTTTATAAAACAGGAGAATAATATGGGAAGTTAAATATTTAAGTGTGTATGTGCATGTGGAAAACATCCTGTGACAAGTTGAGAGTTTGATGACTTTCATAAGATAATATATATATATTATGTGGGTGTTTCACATACTTTGCAAATTTATATTCTCTTTCATATTCAGATCATATAATAATAATTTTAAAGCATGTTTACATAATTGCTAGTTACAAAAGTTATCCAAAATTCAATTCTCTTAAACAACAATTTCAAAATCTGTGGTACAATAACTATGATGTGTAGAGAATTGATTTATATTTATGTTGTGTTTATGTATTTCTAAACATGTATATTATTAAATCCAAACTGAAATTCATATTTGTTTTATATTAGCAGCACATTATATTGTAAATTTTGGATGCATTTAGCATTCATTATATGGATTACCATTTCAACTTAATACCAATATACTGAAGATGTAAGAAATTAGCATAACACTAAAGGAAAGCAAAAGTGAATGTAAATATACTTGAAAAATCCTCATTGCATAAAATCAAAGCTGACTTAATACGTTTGCTGTCATGTGCCCAACTGGTGGGTCACAACCAATTTTTAGTCATGGACCAAATAACACACCAATCACACAAGTGGCTTCAAAGAGGTAATTAATCCTTTCACTGCTGAATTTTCCTATGGAAAGTTGTCTACGGTGCTGGAATTTCTGGTGAAAAATGCCTATTTTGAAACACATTATTTTAAAATCCCTAAATCACCCTAAAATGCACTTATATGCGTTACAAGTGTTAGAAAAGAACATTAAATCAATAAACATTTTAGACGAAAAAAATAATGTAGTTTTACTACCTTTTTTTCTTCTAATATCTGAAATGCTTGACCGTGTGATACTTCATGAAGCACTCCGGAAGGCACATGGGCAGGCATTGCCCCCTCCCATCCTTACAATTCATGCATCCATGTCTGATTTGCTTACTCTTTGGACATAAAGGGCTTTCACTGCACACTACACAATGAGAGTTTGTATTTAGGATCTGGATAAGCCATTGGAAAGTGATGCCTTGTCAGTCACTCCTCTCTATCTTCTGGGTTATCTGTCAACCTCCTCCCTTCCTTCTAAATTTTAATTGGAGGAATAGAAGCATAGAGTTTGGTTACCACCTTTTCCCTGAATGAAAGTGGGTCCATTTTTGAATTAGAGTTGGCAGTTGTGTACAGTATGTAGGAGTTGACTAGTGCTGCCTCTCTGATGAAGTGATAAATTGCATGGTACCACTTTTTTGCATTTGTGTCAATATGGACAGCTGGTACATTTCTGGTCAAACAAATCAACTCCTCTCATTGAAACATTGTAATTGCAGGCCACATTTGGCTTTTTCATATCCCTAAATCCAGTTTCTGACTGCTTGGATCAAATTTGTTTCTGAGTGTAGCCATTATCAAAAATGAAGGAACAAACTATCAGCTAGTAACGATTGCATGGCAGTACATCTCAATAACCAGGGGACTGGGCTATACCCCTAGTTGCCCAGTAGTCACTAATCCTTGGCTTGAAACACAATCCCATCATTATGTGCAAGTTAACATAGGTTTTGATTTCATCTGTAGTACACTCAACTTAATCACTGTAGCAACAATTTTCAGGGAGGTCCACCAAATTATCAAAGAACTCCAGGGCATAGGTGTTAGTCATCTCACAAATAAGCTAAAATGCTTCCTGAGGGAACAACAAGTAAAAATAATCTACATGGTGGTTACTGTCAGGCAAAGGTGGAATCACAGGGCCAGGCCTTTTGGCATAAGCTGGGCACCAAATTGGGATATAATTGTCATAATCATCATCTATGACCCACTCATGATCAGCAACAGCCATACCCCCTTGGCTACCATCATCATCATCACTGTACGAATGTGCAACATCATGTGTATTATCATTACTTACAGCATTATCGGTATCTGTGTCACTGTTTTCCCAATCGTCATTGCCAAATTCACTCAATTCTAAGTCTGAATTTCACATTATTTTGCCCAATTATTTTGTGGCAAGCCATTGTTTTTGTTTAAGTTTATCTGTTGACATGGTTCCGGTCAGTGCTCTCAAATTGGGTCAAAAGTCAAGAATTTCACAAAAATAACACCCACGATCGAGGAAACTACACTGAATTACATTATGGTTGGCTAGAATCCATGCAGGTGCAGCACGGAGTAAATTACAGACCGGTAAATGGAACTATGTCAGGAATTCGACTTAAGTCACATACGGCAGTGAAAGGGTTAAACATAGTAGAGTTACCCATATAAATATTAGACACCTGAGTTAAGTTAAAAAAAAGAAAAGTGTGGTTGGCACTAGGGTAGGAATTATTAATACTACTGGTGGCAGCAAACATGTTAAAGAAGGTTATTAATACTTACTGTATTTATATTGGTTTGCACTTAAACACAAACTTGTAAAGCTTTTTCTTTAGCATACACATAAGTATATTGCTTAATTATGAATTATTATTGCTTAATTGCTTAATTATAATTATAAATTCTGCTGGTGGCAAAAAATATAGGGCAATTCAATTTATATGCTATTATGCTTAGCTTTTAATGTTCATTTTATCTCCATAAAGCAAGTTGCCATACTACAGTAATCTGAAAATACATACAGTTGGTTGCCAAAAAAATCAGATCTCAACTTCTTTAATTGTCACTAGTGTGGCATTAAAAAAAAGATCTACAATCTACTTTTGATTTCTACAATTAGTTTTTGTTTCAAATATCACAAAACAAGACACACATATTGCTTCTTGCATATACCATTACCAATTTCCCTGGTACTTACCAAATCAACAAGAACAAAATCATCACAAACAGAATCTTCCATCCAAACAGACTTCTGATGTGCCAAATCAAGTGTATTCTGATTCATGTCTAGAGATTTATCTGTCCTAGAGTTTTTTGAGCTTTTACCAGCTAATACTGTATCTTCATTTACATTGTTCTCTCCATGCTTCTTATCTAAGGTAAATGTTTGATTTTCCTGGCATCTCTGGTTTGTAAACCCTAAGTTTGCATCTTTGTCATGGTTTAGAAGGCTCTGGAATGGAGCATCTGGCAACAGAAAATTTAGGAAAGCAGATTCTGGAACTTTTGAAGGAGCAAAAGCTCCCACCTTCATCTCTTCAAATTTTATAAACTTCATAATAGACCTAAATACAAAAAGAATAAAAAAATAACTAATTGTGACGATCAGTCAACATACACATATTTCTAAGATATAAACAAATTACCACGGCATCATACAGCAAGTGTGACCATTCTTTTAAATCTCAAGGGTAAAAAAAAGATATAACTTACAACCACAATGGAACCAAAACTTTAAAAAACTAAAAGTAATCAATATTAAGTATCATCACCAATATCTGAACTTTCAAATTCAAACCCTTTCACTGCGGCTGGGACGTATATTTCCCAGTGAATTGGTTAATTAAACCAGTAAAAATGTTCAACAGTCAACTGGTTGAAGGATAATGCTGTTCTACTATGTTATATTTGCATAAATAAGAGTGAAAAATAAGAGCTGTCTACATATAAAAATTAAAAAAAAAAACATTGCAACTACTGAAGAGCTACAAGCAGCTTGCGAGATGCTACTTGATCACCCAAAGCCATATAGTAAACTGAAGTCAAAAGCAAAGATAGATGTACTGTCCTACATTAGTATAATTATGTAGTCACTTTCAAATAATTATTATTTCACTCAGCCAATCAAATATTAATCCCCTAGCATTGAAATTACAACTCCACATACAAAACAATTACAGTATAATAGTACTATATAATTAAAAGTTTAGTACAAGTCTTGAGAGGTATTTCTACATCTGTGACTATACATGTGTATTTCTAGTACTTTTAGTACATTTACTTTCATTTTCAAAACTTGTTGAACAATATACTTGAAAACTAATTACAACACTTAATTTACCTAAGAGGAAAGGGGTTAAATAATTTTTTGTTGTTTTTCCAGTTATTGTCAAATTCAAAGAATTTAGCAAAATAAATGTTAAAGTAAGGTATGTATCTATACAAAAAGTATTACATTTGTGCAAACAAAAAGGCAAACAATGAAAATAACCATTAACAACAAAACCTTTAGCACCAAAGTACAGCATATAATTTAGTTAAATTATGATTGAATCATTCGTTATATTTCATTAGCTTAAAACAATGAAAGAAAAACATTTTAACATTTTCCTTAATTGAAAATGTATTTTAGAGAGATACCCCTGTACACAGAAAGCTATTTTTCTCTTGAAGTCACATTATTCTGCCTTAGAGATTTGTAGAGAACCTGCCTTATGAAACTCTCACCTAAAATTCACGCAAAAACACATGAATTTGCACTATTGTGTGATCACATATCATGCAGCAAAACCCTCCACCAATAGGAGTGCAAAACTACACTCCTTGCGCAAGTGCACTCTTTATGTTCGCACGTAAAATTCCTTTCTTTGATAACAAATAAATGTGCACCTGGAAGGTGTGGACTGATGAATGGAAACATGTATGTTGGTATTTATCACAAATATATTTTCAATTAAGGAAAATGTTAGCTTCCAATACAATCACTCTCCTCTGTACACAGAAAGCTAGAATCCCACATTGAGATGGTGGAGGGATTAGTGCAAAATTTACTTAGATGAGCTTCCTTCAGCAAGCATTTGAAGGAAGCTCATAGGGTGTGACAACCTATGGTAGGGGCTCCATGGGGGCACACCAGTGGGAGACTGCATCTCATCTCTTAGCCCGTGGGTATGATTAGAAAATTCAAAAAGCCTAAATTGTGTCACAAGGATTGTCTGAATAGGTACATGACCATCCAAGTACTCGCACACAAATCGTCAGACTGTCAATAAGTGTAGGGAAATTGGGGATTGTTCAGATTGCACCTTGTGTGAACATCTCATCAACCATCAGTCTCAATAGGTCAAAACCAGCTGTGGGAGAAAGGCACTTGTGATAAGTATCCATGCTCAGCTACTCTACCATCAGATGTTTTGGGCACCTCGCCAATCATGGGAGGAGGGCACTCTGTATTCATTTTTGTTTATTCTACACAGTTAGTATGGATACTTACATAACCACAACTCAACTATCAAACACTATGGGCCCCTTGCCTGCTGTAGGAGTAAGGTGCAAGTGATACAGTTGGATATTAAATAACATCATCTACTATGAGATCTGATAAAGAGGGTTCAGGTCACTGTTTAAATACTGTGATGTATCTATATGCACTATGCTCCAGAAACACCTTTGCCCCACTTCTCACTGTAGAGGGATTCTTGTTCTAGCATCCAGTGTTTAGGTCCCAACTGGTGAGGATTCTCTATGGTCCACCACTCCAGAAGCTTGTAAGTGGTAAGGGTTTCCCATGCTCCAATTGAGGGAGGGGGGATTAATGTATATGAGCCCCCCAGAGAATGTGCCTGGATCCCAATTGGGTGCCTGCCAGAAAGATCTTTTACTAGAGTGAGTGTAATGGGGAATATAAAAACCCTATTTTTTAAAAGCTAGCAAGTTCTAGCCAGAGAAGCAGTCAGATGCACAACTTTGGTGCTGGCTTTTTCCATAATAGTCCATGAAATTAGTACAGTCTGGATCAAAACATTGAATGTTTTATAGCATTACCACAAGAAGAACTCCAGTGGTCTTGCAGATCATCCCATCTCACAGTGGGCACTGACTGGGCTAGAACAGATAGTCTAGCACTTTCAGTTATCCTAGCCCAATGCAGAACTTTAGGTAAGTATACCCTGCGAGGCAACACTAGTTGCCTAGTGAGATCCCAAAGTAGAAGAACAGTGAAGAAGGAATAAGTAAATAAATAAACACACTTGTTGCAGGTGTACGGTTAATTGAAGAATGACCATTGGTGGAGGTCTGTATGCCACTGTAGACAAGACAGCCAGACGATAGAGATAATTTAAAGTGAGATGAATGATTGTGGCCCAGACAGGACAAAGGAGAAGAGCATTAATTAGAAAGTGGGAAGAAACAAGAATGCAGACATGTGTAGAACAGCTATCATGTGCAAGTATGAATAGAACTCGTGTGCTCAGGGTAAGCAGAAACATCTACTAGATATTCAACAGGGACCTAGGGAGGAGCATGGAGACCTACAAAGATAATCCAAAGAGGCAAGAAGTAGGAGGAGGAGGGGAGGGCAATGGATAAGGAAGGAATGAAAGAGGGTAGAAAAGAGGCAGAAAAAAAAAGAAACTGTGACATCAGGAAAGGTGGAGGAAATGCCTTACAGGTCACAAGAGAACCATCCCGTGAAATAGGAGGAATATGTTACAATGTAAGGGAGTCAAAGGGAAATGGTGACAATGAAACCAAGTGACAAGTACATCCCAAACATTGGCACACATAAGAAGTAGAAGGATGACAGAAGTGGGATAAAGGGACAGCTATCTGATCATGGAGATGGACTGAACAATCCTACAAAACACAATGATAAAGGAATGTTATATATAAAGGAAAGAGCAATGTGTAAGGGTGGATCAGAAGGGATGGAAAGTTGGGAAGAGGAAAACAAGACTGAGACTTGAGGAGATAATAGTAATAGAAACAAGGTTGGAATATACTGTTAGGGGCTACCAAAGGGACCCCTTAACTCTCTCCAAATGGGTCACTGGTCAAAGTCCATGTCATTGTGTTTGTTGACTCATATTCAAAATTTTATTGAGCTACTATTTCATGAATTTATTTCAATAAGTTTGGTATCAAACTGTAGATTATAATTTAAATTTTAGTTTATACATTATATAAGTTCTTAATTTAAAAATAAATGTTAAAAAAACAGTTAAACATCGATTTCTGTGTCGTGTAGTACACTGAATACAGCATTGGTTCAAATGAGATGTCTGTGATGTCAAAATACTAAGTCTATAGTTTTGTATGAATTAGAAACTCAAATTACCAATATTCACAAGCTAGAATATAAAACAAGAATCTCACATCTTTTCTATTTGCTAATATATCACTCATGATGTGAATCAAACATAGTGGCCACACTCACCTCTTTCCATTTTTGGAAATGGTCCCTTATACACACTTACTTCAAAATATGACATGTGAATGACCAATCAAAACCTCAGAATGTCCCCCTAGTGGCTTTCTCAGCCATTTTCATGTGTTAAGATGCCATCTCTTTCTTTCAAGTCAAGATTTCAAGGAGGTAGGTTGTGTATTTAGTCTTTTTGAAATTTCATAATTTTTTAGACCCAAATACAGGTTAGTTACTAAGCTTGATAAATTATAGTGGAATTCTGTGGTATCGATATAGTAATTTATGATTTTTTGGTTATTCAACTGTATATATAAAACATGCAAAATTTTAAAAGGCTTAGCAACCTACGTCAAGCAGCAACCGAGTACAAAGTTCGTAACTAGAATAAATAATTGTTTGCTTTACTTCTTTATTTACTCTTCTATGTTTTAAGAAAAATAAGTTTAAGAACTTATTTCTAAATAGTAATAATCAATATACATATATAATGTATATTAATGGAAATGTGACTATATTTTACAAACTACTAGTCTATTAAAACACAGTCAAGACAGGTCACTTTGTAAAGACTAAAGGTCAGTTTTACATTATTGGATACAGTAACATGAAAGCATGTGTGCCGTATCTTCTGTATTGATAGCCAGGCATGACTGAAAGGTCAATGTAATAAAAATAATAAATATACATAAATGTATAATGTTATGAGATTTAAGCTTATGTTTTAATGTTATAATTTGTGTTCATTCTAGGATGAAAGAGGAATAATTTATATTTATTTCATAATTGTTTATGGAGGTTACAAGATCAGTCAAATCTACCGAACCTGTACAGAGATTCATTAGTGAAAACAACAGATAAAATCTAAAATTGTTTCTTCAGAAACATTTGATAACTATCTATCTGGACATGATACAGATTTCACATGCGAAATTTGAAAATTTTCTTATGCATAAAAGTATTTTTAATCTTAAAATATAAATTACTTTTCATGTTGGATAGGCAACATGTGAAAAGAAAAAAAGGCATGAGGAAAACATTACTTAACAAGCCCTAAGACTTAATAAAAAAATTTGAAATTTTGCATATGAAAGCATTGTAATGTTTACTGATAATCTGCCAAATTTCCTTAACATACGC